GATTATTTTGAACATAAAAAAATCATAAATCGTTGCAAAAAAAAATAATTTCGTGAAAGTGAACTATTTCCTTTAAGCTGTAAGGTGATATTTGCGAGCAAGACAAAAAATAAATAGTAAGCTGCGAAAGAGCGTCATCAAAACACCACATCGTCTCGTTATGCACCATTGCTGCCAAACTTCATTCTGAGCTCTGAACCAATTCACCGCGACTTATCTACGTATGTACTCCCTATGGCTGTTGTTTCGTCGTTTTCCGCATTTTACCTAGGTAGTTTGCAACAACCCTATGGAGTTTGCAAACTAACTAGGGACTTTGCAAACTACCTAGGCAGTTTGCAAACTACCTGTTCGACCAGGTACTTTGCAAACTACCTAGGAGTTTGCAAACTACCTGATCGTTCAGGGAGTTTGCAAACTCACTAGGTAGTTTGCAAACTAACTGATTTCTCATACTCCCTGTAACATATATATGGCTACGCATTTCACGATTATTTTCTGTGACCATTGTTCTTATACCATGCTCTAATCTAACTTCTCCGGAATAGAAATAGTCCACGGAATAACGCAGCCCACGGAATTCAGCCAATTACACGATTACGTTCCTGTCGTCAACACTGTAGTAGACCGAAACTAATCCAGTTATGAAGGTGGCTATACCACACAGGGGAAACCTCACGACACCCTACTGTCACAGCTTGTTGCTGCGAGCATTACGAATGTTTACAACAAACACGGGCTTGGAAACAATGCTTCCGTAGAAAGGCTAAACGGAACTGATTGACCATTGTTTTTGCGAGATAGATATCACGAGGGAAACCGTTATAGTTACCGTATCACAGCACACACCACATTTGTATCAGTTACATTGCAACCGTTGTCAATGGAGGCTTAGCAGCTCCACTTATTACTCATGCAGAAAAGAAGAAAATTAGTGAAACTGTAACGCCTTACATACTAATACGAGTATCGTATCGTAATCGTATCGTAATCGTAATCATAACTCACAATCAGTTCAATATCAAATGTTGGCGAAAGTATATTGTTCATTTTGACAAATGTTCACTTTAATGAAAAACAATATCAAATTCTTATCTGTATTCAATGTAAAGCGTTTCGATTATTTCTTTATCAATACATTGATACAATACAGATATACCTAATGATTATGAACACTCACGATTCAATGTGTGTGTTCATAACATTGAATCGCGTTAACACACATTGAATCGTGTCTGTTCATAATCATTATATCTGTATTGTATCATTGTATTGATAAAGAAGTAATCGAAACGCGTTTACATTGAATACAGATAAGAATTTGATATTGTTTTTCATTAAAGTGAACATGTTGGTGAAAGAGCAGTCTATCAGCTTACTTAATGATCGTAACAATGGAATAAACACGCAAACTTTACGCCATTTTCCCGCAAAGTACAGAATCGAGCAGATGCTCCAATCACGTATAATTACGGCCGGCACAGGTGAGGTTTCCGCTCTGTCTGCGGCGGATCAGGACGGAGTGCAGTGTGCCTGCACACCGCGATCGTATCTATCGGCGGTGGATGACCTGTTAGCGGGGCCCGGTGGGGAACCGGCCGACAGAACGGGACGCAGCTATCCCCCTGTTCGGGAACGGTTATGCAACCGCATTTTCCGCTGTCAGTTGGTCGCGTAGCTGGCGCTGCATGAGTCGAGACAGGGGCAACCACGCATTCTCGGCCTTGACGATCAACACACATTGACAGAGCTAAGCGCATATACCAGATAATTGTACAGATAATTGTATCGCACGAAATGAGGGCGCAATGGATTGACTGTTCAGTGTTCAACTTACTGAGAACGTCACAGCAATTATGACGTTTGAACATTGGTGCAATTTTGCTTTGTCGTAATTAGCTTCGAAAATGTGCGGGCGGTGGGGCTCAAAGACGATCGCATGTCGCAATAGAGAAATAAATTCACTGGCTGCAAATCTAAAGGCTGATGTTAATTACATCTTGGCCACAATCTGACACACAGCGGCTACCTCCTTATTTATGTCGATACGCGTAACAACGCTTCGAATTACGCAACACAAGCCACGCTGTGCGTATCCAACTTAGACAGCGGTAAATCTAATCGGAAGTTGGGGACTAAATGGGGAGTGACGGGAGAAAATTTTAAAGTCGATTCGCATCCATTCATTCGCAATGAAAATCGCGTAACATTACACAAGAGCAGCCCGGTGCGTGTTTGGTGTCCATTATAATAATGTCGGCAGCTGTTGGGCTGCGTGCCTGCGGCCGGCACGCCCACAGCGGGTGTCGGCCGGGCTCCAGATATAGCCTCCATCCGGTGCCGATAACGGGTCGCCGCGTGCCATTGACAGAGTTCATTACCATCGGTGACGGGGTCTGGAGCGGTGGGTCCGCCCCCCCCCCTCGTACATGAACTCGGACACAAGCCATGTGTGACCCGACAAACGGGAGGCGCAGAGCCGCCAGAGAATGGGGCCATGACCCCACCAGCCACGGCCCTGACAGGAGACACTCTCGGCGGAAACGAGCCGGCGTGTGAGCGTCCACAAAAGAACAGACAACACTCCAGCTGCCGGATGAAGATAAAACAACGGACCCACGACCCACTACCTACAGTCTGCAGGACACCGGAGAAAGAACATACCTGCGACCCAAACAAGGCGGCGGCAGCCGGCAGAGACGGCGCATGTGCGCCAGGCTCGCTGCGCGCGCTCCTCTCTCTCCATTGAGTGCGGCCGCTGTCGCGCCACCATCGCCGCAGTTTGGGAAAACCGGACGGGCCAGGCGCGGCGCGGCGCAGTGAGGAGAGGAGAGGAGAGGAGGCGCCAGTGAAGGTGAAACGGCGGCGGCCCCGGGGCGGGCTGCCGCTACTGCTGGTGGCCGCCGACGGACGTCACCGAGAGAGAGAGAGAGAGAGAGAGAGAGAGAGAGAGAGAGAGAGAGAGAGAGAGAGAGAGAGAGAGAGAGAGAGAGAGAGAGAGAGAGAGAGAGAGAGAGAGAGAGAGAGAGAGAGAGAGAGAGAGAGAGAGAGAGAGAGAGAGAGAGAGAGAGAGAGAGAGAGAGAGAGAGAGAGAGAGAGAGAGAGAGAGAGAGAGAGAGAGAGAGAGAGAGAGAGAGAGAGAGAGAGAGAGAGAGAGAGAGAGAGAGAGAGAGAGAGAGAGAGATCGCGCCCGAGGAAAGCGGAAAACTCGCCCGGGCCGGCCGGCGCCCGGCGCGACGGGCGGCAGTGGGTGGTGAATTGGTGATGGGTCGGTGGGGCCGTGCTAGCCGCACGGTACACCAAATGGTATGGAATCGTTCCCTAATCTGTAACATGTTTATGCAATACCTCGGTAACACGAGGGGCAGTTCACAATCATAAGTCAAACTGAATGAACTGACTGACAGCCATTTACTGAGAAGCGTCACTTTTCCTATCTGTGTGATAGCATATGTTGGTCGACATGGCAACGGCTTAGGAGCCTCAATGTTTGTGGGGCCGAGCTGGACAGCCGTATCCCATTTCAACAGTTGTAAAAACCTTGTCAGAATCCATGAAAACCAGTAATCAAGAGGACCTAGACCTGACAAGTAAGCATTTAGCGAAGCATTTACGTTAGCTCATACCTTGTCAGTCTCGTAAGTTATACATGCGTGCGGCATCGGCGCATAATGAATTCCGAGGAAACGAGAAATAGCCATATTAGCGGCGGGGAGCGCGCGTCGAACCGCCCAGCTCACTGCGCTTTGGAGCGGGGCCGAATCTGTCCTCACAGCCACGGCCTCCTGGGTGGCGCACTTCTAAACACCGCTAGATACATCGGCACGCACATAATTGGCCTCATCAATCAGCCATAAATCAATTACCAGCGGCCAGGGTCACGCGCCCCAAACAGGTGCGTGAAGAGGGAACGCGGATTGGGAAGAGCGAATGTGGGGGAGAAGGTCGAATGGTTCACTTTCATGGGCTGGTCTTTTTTATGTGACGCGCATAGATGTGTGAAGGAGCTTTTCAGTGGCCAGATTTCAGGTAGGTATGCGGACGTAATTCGTAAGATATCTTATAGTTATACCTGTCTTATAATTAGCACTTAATAGGTCAGATATAACATCCAAGTAGGCCTAATTCATGTCGCGACGTCACCGAACACTTAGAGCTATACTCGTTGAGTCGTACCGCATTTATGCACGGCTAATTTATCCTCGCACATTTGAAATAAATAAATGAGAAAAACCACGAATCTCATGTTCCAAGGTTGGTTCGGTTTCGGTATTTCCTCACGGTTTCGGTTGGTATTTGGTTTGGTATCGGTATTCCGATTTTCTGTAATTGACATCACTACTAGATCCAATAACACACGATAAACTAATAAAAACTATGGCCAAAATCAGACCGGAAAAGGGCGAGCGTGTGTCCATTCAGGAATTTGTCCGATTGTACGTGTTTTCTGTCAGGAGGGACAGCTATACGAACAGGGGCGATGTACTCTGTCGCGCGCCTTACGAGCTGGCGTGTGGTTAAATAAACTGGTGGCACGCGCCCTCAAACGGGCGTCGGATCGGCACCCTACTGCGTAATTTGGACTGTTTAATGTGCCCGAGACGCTGCTACCCGTCACAGACAGCCGAGCGACCCCGGCGGCCGCCGGTATTTGGAGGCTAATAGCCGCCCCCGGGCCGCGCTGGACAGTCAGCTCGCAGTGACCCCTAATCCGTCCGGTTTAACGTGATCGATAATCTATAGAACGCCGAGAGATTGTGCGAAATATGACGGCATTCCAGTGGTATTTCCCAGACACTATGCAAGAATCGCACGTAAAACACAATCCAGCATTCCATATTGACGCGTCGCTACGCATAGACAAATGGATACGATAGTTCATACTGCTTGGAAAATAAACAAAACAGCAAAGATAAAAATAGACACAGGCGGCAGAAGGCCCGGATTTCTTTTAGCAGCTGTTTATGTATCTCAAGCTCGAGATGGTCTGATATACTTACGTTGCCGGTGGAATCTGCATGATCGCTCTGAAGACTGAGAATATTGTCCAGCAGCTCATCCACCTGCAAAGCAAGGAGAGAAAAAGTTGAAAATGCGAACATTTCGCAACCACCCCATCCGTCTCGCGCCACCTAATAGATGTTCTTCGGACACAAAGTGCTCCTATCTATGCAGAAACGGCGCGGCGACGGTAAAAAGCGGTCCGTGTCCTGCTTCGATTATCGGTGGCGCTCGATTGTGGGCAAACAGCGCTGCGTCTGTGGCCGTCGCGGGCTCTGCTCAGAATTCCGTTGGCGGCCGATAGGCGCTCCGCGGTCGGTGTCCTGAGCTGACCGGCCGAGGCGCGGCCAGTTACGAAACCAAGCATAGACGAGTGGGCGGCGCAGGCGAGAGGCGTGCACGGAGACAGGGCACGGCAGAGGACAGGACATCACTGCAAACACACGCCACACACACGGCCAGTGTGAGGCAGGACAGTCAGCGGCGAGTGGCAGGACAAGAGACAGAAAGGACGGCGGGAGCGTCTTAGAGCGGAGGTTCAGTTGAAGGGAGACTGAGGATGTGTGCAAGGAGCAGTAGTTCGACACATCTGTAAGCTGGATCATCCTCGACAAAGCTTACTAATAACAGGGTTGGCAATGTCTGTGGACAGTGGGTCTCTGTTAGCTTCTGGCAACGATCCATGTCGCAAGTGACTAACGTGTCACTAACAAAGGTGGTGCAAAATTAAATCAAAACAGAGGACAGCAGCACACACAAAGGAGCCAGTCGCAGCACCGCCGCTGCACAGTTCGGCGTGGAGATGTGCCTGCCAGGGACGGACGGAAGCGTCGTCGGCGTTTTGTCCCGTCCAACTTCCGAGTTGGCAGCCGTCCGCGGAGCATCGCCGTCGCCAAGACAAAACCATACAAAGGCGCGAACGGGAGCGGTACTGAGAGAAAGGGGACGTGATGGAACCCCAGCTGTCTGTATATGGAGCTAACGAGATCGGAAAGCGGCCCGCTCCGGTGGTCCGCCGGCCGGTCAGTCGGTCAGTCGAGCGCGCTCAGTCGGTCAGTCGAGCGAGTTCAGCCACTCGGTCATGACTCAGTGCTCCAGGCGTCACGCGAACTGGCCCAACATCGCCGCCGTTTCCGCCTCTCTACGGTGGTCGGCCGCGCCGCGTTCCCAACTACTGGGAAACCGAACAGTGTTCACTTGCCGTGTCTCCATGGAGCTCCCTTCCTGTACCCGGCGTTTGTCGTTGCTCGCTCGCGTCAGCCCGCATGTGAAGCGTGTCTCACACATATCCGTTTGACCTGTGTCTGTGTCTGTCTGTTGCTCCTGTCGCGTTGTGAACTCGCGAATCGCGTGACCTGAGTGGCCGCTAGCTAATTGTTTCACCCCATGACCCTCGTGTACCGATGGCTTTCCGACCGCCTGAGTCCACCCCCTCGTGTCCCCGTGTCCACCTGACCGTTTCCCCCTTTCAGTGGTGTCGACCGTGCTGATAAGAACTGGCAACAAAGTAAGTGAATGATGCATTCTTAATTCAAAGGGTCATGAAGTACATCTGTCAAACAACACTTATAGCAAAGCACTTCCATTCAATATTCATGAAAAGTGTTTGATCAAAGTCAAAGTGCCAAAACATCCACAAGAATGACTTACAATGGTTCGCGGACAAGTTTCCGACATTTGACAGCTTTGGATGGGTTTCGAGATGTCAGCTGTCTCCCATACCGCACTCTGAACGCACACTGCAGAACAAACATCTCCGCCACAGTCACTATCAGTTATCACCCTTCCCATCCTGCAGTGCTCGCGACCCTGGTGCAGACCCATGGGGTACGTTTCCAGCCCCTCGGCCGCCTGCCCGGGTGAATTTCCGCGGCTGGCCGGGTAGCGCGGTACCACAGTCGCCTCCGCCCCCCGGTCCGCCCGCCTGACACGACCCAGACGACTGAGATATGTCCGCTATTGGGTGACGCCACAGGCCCTCCGAACAGGATCGCCACAAGTACTGACGGACCAGTCCCGCTGGACGGTCAAGGCCACCAAATTCGAGCGCAGCCGCGAAACGACAGGTTGTTGGATTCCGTACCTCTGGCGCTGAGAAATCATCAAATTCCCTCTCGAAAACCGGTCAGCCAGCGAGTGTTCGACAGAGGAACGCAGGATATCTGGCGCTGGAGTGCGGGGTGCGGCGGAGAAGCGTTTCCGTCTGAGAAGCGTTTCCGTCTGACACAAGGAATCGTGAGTCAGAGGTTTCTTCCGCCGCAAACTATGAAGGAAATGGATTCGGTCAACAGTGACGGACAACCTAGTGACAGCGAGAAGTTGTCAGGGACTGGGAATAGTCATTAGACAACAAGTTGCCTTTAGTTCCCGCTGTAAATTCAGCCTTCCGTGGACGAAATGGTCGACGGTGAGATCTAGACAACTATAGAGACTTTCTCAGCCGAAAGTGACGTCATTAGTGACGGATGACGTCATCAGTGTTTCTAGTTATCGGACCTCCGGATGATGCGGCTTTCTGCAGCGGCTGTGCGCGGATAGCGGCCCGGCTGATGGCTCTGGTAACTGGCAGTGCCAGAGTCCGTAAGGAGATACTAACGTAACGGCTGAGCAGTGAGCAGAGGATGCCGAGTGCCGACCATGCTGGGTTCGAGTTCTGTCCGGAAGCATTCCAGTTATCTCGAGCGTCGCTTCGCGGGACCCTGCTGGACCAATCTGGGAGTTTCGGTTGCCTTGTGGACAGCGAACTTTGATCGGAGAGTGAGCTATCTGTAGTCTGTGCTGGAGCTTCCACTGCTTCCAACAAACATTACGTCACTGACTCAAGTGTCGTCGCTCAATGACCGAGCAGATTTAACCGGAGACCAGCCAGAGCCACACTCCAGCCTGAAATTCTTACTCACAACAAATTAGTCGGTGATCTAACAACAATCGCACGACAATGCATTGTAGATGGAAAGTTAGCGTCAGTTTGCCCAAGTCATCGCAGCAGTGCATAGTCTGTCTCAGGCTAAACAGCCCGTAACAAGTAGATTATCAATGCATTGCTTGCAAGCAGTGGATAAATAAAATCATTAAACCAACAACGTTGCAAAAATGCACCATCACGGCCCAACCGGTTGCACATCGAGCCGCGATGCGCGCCGGTTTTATAATTATTATACTCTGCCCCATTTTACCGCCTAGCAACTACTCCTTGTCTTCCAGGCACATGCCTGAATGACGGACGTGCCTGAACACCGCCTATAAACAGGAGGCCGGCGCTGCCCAGACTTATCTCAGTTGGACAGTGGGACGACAAACAGTCGTTTGTAGCCAGGACACAGGCAGCAGGACAGAGGACAATGGGCAGTGGGACAATGAATGGACAGCGGATATAGCGGGACAACGGACAGCGGACAGCGAGGCAGCGGGACAGCGGGGCAGCGGACAGCGAGACGGTGGGACAGTGGGACAGCGGACAGCGAGGCAGTGGGACAGCAGGACAGCGGACAGCGTGGCAGTGGGACATGAAACAGCGAATAGCGACAGGGGATAGCGAAGAGCGGTTGCAGTGGATGGGGAAGAGCGGAGAGTCGACGCAATGAATCCCGACGCTGAATGAATCAAACCTGCTTGGGTCTGTTTGAGGGCGGAGGACAGGGCTGAGTTGGGGTTTGGCCGCCGCACTGTTACACCACGCGTGACGCAGGAACGCGGCCTGAAAGACCTCCGGAAGTCTGTGTAGTGCCGAGGGAAGACAATGCAAGTGGTGACAGCTCTGCATGGACCACGGCGGAACCAAGGTCAGCACATAGCAAGTCATCCAACTGTGTGTATGTATGTGCGTATTCACGCTGAATGTCAAGGCCTTTTAGCGACCATCAGGCAATTGTAGCGCAACGTTTCAACAACATACTCGCTCCGTGAAATACTGGAACTGACGGATGAGTGATCCATATGCAGCGATTCTTCCTTCCCGCCTAACGAACCATGACAAATCTCCCGAGATATTTCGGGGCGCGTCCCTTTCCTCACTGCCCCGGCTCCGAACTTGCCTCAGACGATAGCTCTCCCCACGCCACCCCTGGTATTAGCAGCCCCCTTTCCCCTACTGCTGCGCCAAGCGAGGACAATTCATGGCACGATCAATGAATGGCTGCCGTCCCCAGCCGAGTCGGACAAAAAACAGCCACAAAGAGGGGAAGGCGTCGACGGCGCAGCGCCCGCGGACGCAAGGACACTTTCTCATACCCAAATAGCGTCACGTCATCACTAGTCGAGACGAGCAATATATACTGCTGCGAGGAATTTTAAAGACCCTGAAAATTAAGCGATAGCCTGGTAAGTTAAAAACGCCAGACAGATAAAAGGAGAACTGTTTGTGTAGGCATGGGCACATTCAGATCAGTAAATCACTCAGTTTCGTATCCAGAAGATGGAATGAGGCGGCAGGAAAATTCGCTGCGGCTAAGAGCAGCCTGCCGCAGGTGTCACAGACCGTCACAGCTCGTCACAGGTGGTGGCAAGTGGTCGCAGGTGGCACAGCGACACTCCTCAGCCGAAACAACCTTGTAACCGAGACAGGGAGCGGCCGACCGCCTCGGAAAACCGCGGGCGATCGGCACCGGACGGCCGAGCCAGAGAGGGACGGCGTGGGTCAGTTGTCGGACGTGAAGCCAAAAAATGACACCTCATCGCATCCCACCTGTCTGGCTCAGGTTCAGGGCTAGGCCGGGCCAATTTCACAAGTGTGCCTTTGAGTCACAGCCGTGCCGTCAAAGTGTGCCGAGGGATCGGCGGCGCGTGCCACTCGTCAGCCACACCGGGCGATGTCGGGCCAGTGGCGGGTCTGACAGGTATGACAGACGCAGTGACGGCCGGGGTGACGGACACGGGGAGCCGTCCGGTCCCCCCCCCCCGGACCGTCCTCCGGTGACCGGACCCAGACCGGTCACCGGACAGAGCGCAGCGTTCTCTGACCGGATCCAGACGGCCCCGCCCGCCCGCCGGACGGATGTGATGTTCGGTCCATGGCCTGGGTCGCCGACGGGCCTGTGTTTACTCAGCTTCCCGTCCCGGCGGG